GCTGAGACGACACTTGAAATTTCCTGTTTGAATCTACAAAATTAATCAGGAGGATTGTTAAATATACTCTTCAAAGTTAAAATAAATTAGACTAATACTTGAGGACACCAAATAATGCATGTTAAATTAGGCTAAAAATTTAAGACAATTTTGATCTTTTCCCTCGGCCGTTAAGTGCAGGTTGTCTCTGATGAACGTTATGGTAGTTATATATGAAGGCTGCCTACTTATTTGTATATAAGCAATAATTCGCTAGTGTGCTAGAAGACTGGAATAGCTAGTACATGAGGATATTAGGGAGCGTGTTAATTATTCTGAACAAAGTTCGCATGGAGAAATGAAATCATTGTTCAATTCAAAATGCAGGGTTTTTCTAAATGATGGACCCTAATAAGTTAATTCTTATTTATTTAGGAATAAATTTAGGATCTTCATTTCCTACGAGTCCTACCCAACGCTCAGGAAGTGACTGATTGTCACTTACTGAGAGGGCAAGGGGGACATATTGAGCATTTAGAAAAAAAGGAGAAAAACCTTGAATCTTTCTCTTTGAATTGGTGTATAAATTATACGAATTTATTAAATTGGGTCCATCATTTAAAATAACCCTGTATGTTTTACCAGAAAATATTAAATATAATGCATTATTTACTACACGTTTCAAAACAGGAGTAACTGCAGAAAAGGGTTCGAACATACCATTGTTGACTCCACCTTGATTGAGTTTAATAAATTCATTTGGTGGAATATAAATACGGAATTAGGATTAGGAATTTGTTACCCAATTGGCGCTCTTGTTCCTAATAAATTTATATGATGGAATCAAACGAGTTAAGGTGTGGGTTACGTAATGGAAAGATTGTGACAAATCAGTGACTATCTGCCTTGATGTATTAGCTATATATTAAAGAATGTATTGCGTTTTTCTTGTTATTCGCAACATTTTCTGGAAATTTCGCGAATGTGGCTTCATATGTTGCCCATTAAATTACGAAGATGTTAATTCATTCCCAAACACTTAACACGCATATTTAGAAATTTTCGGTAATTATATGAAACTTTTTGACATTCTGAAAATATAGTCCGTACATATTCCACGTAATCTGGATGAATTTTGATAAATTTAAATAATATTTTTATGCGTTTTCAACAACTTTCCATAAGTTCTTCGCATATTTTAAATACAAATTCAATTCAATAGGGAACATTTTTCATACATGATCGACACATTTTTCACAGATATTCCATTTAATTCGAGTTCTTTGGAAATCAAGTTTGCATTGATTCATAATTAACTATTCATGCATTCAATTTATACATCGAATATAGTCCCATTTATTCCTAACATCGCTTGAATTTAAGTTGAATTATTATAATTTTTTTACAATTATTTATTATATGGTTGAAATCTGAACTATTCAACAGGCTGCTTGAGTGAGCAGCAACAGGCAGCACCAGCAGCATCAACAGGCTGCTTGAGTGAGCAGCAACAGGCAGCACCAGCAGCATCAACAGGCTGCTTGAGTGAGCAGCAACAGACAGTCTCAGGAGCATCAACAGGTATGGTATGCAGCAACGGACCCACATATCATATCAACAGCCAGCTAACCCCCCGTTTCCAGGCCTAGCATAAGAATGCAGTGAAATAAGAATGTTTTGTTATGGGCAACAGTTATCCGCACTGCAGCACACAATCCACAATAACAGCACAACAGTGAAGTCACAACAGCACTCCACAGCACCACAGCAGCACCACAAATGCAGTGCATGGGGCCCTACAGCAGCACCACAACAGCTGCCTCACAGCAACACAGCAACATCACACAAGCTCCACAACGACCACAAGACCACATCACAGCAGCACCACAGCCCAGACTTCAAAGCATCACAGCCTGAGCTGCTGAGGCCTGAAGCCTGCCGCGCTGTGGTATGCTGTGGCGGCAGAGCCGAGCTTTGTTTAATGCTCTGCCACTGAACAATAAGCTTCCCTCGATATAAAATTAACATTCATTTTTACTTTGCGAACAATCACTACTTTGTCGAATTATTCCACTCCCAGACGTATCATCAGTTCTCAATTAATTGAGAATTGAGAAATGTAAGTTAAGTGCATTGCAACTCTGGCGAGAGACAGATTTGGAATATTTTTAAGAGTATCGATGAGTGTAAATTCCGAAAGAAAATATTTCGTCCAAAAGCACGTTAGGTACATTTTTATGATTTTAAGAAAATAAAATACCAGCTATAGTTATATCTGATCTAGTTATACCTTCATTACGTATAAAAGCGTAAGCCACGTAGCTTCTAATACTCGAAGATTCCAGGTCCCGACTATCATATAATAATGCATAATTTGAAATAAAAATAAATAAAATTAGCCGAACTTTAAATTGACATAGCCTTACCACACTTCCAATTGATCATAGTTAGCCAATTTGCTAATATGAACAAGGCAACGCATCAATGGAATGGACTAATGCGCACGATATTTAAGAAGCAAATATTTAATGCTGAAATTTTATTACGAAGATCACATATATTGTTGAATATGGCTGCATATCATGAAACTAGAAATTCCTATGCGAAGCACTATGGAGGAAAATTCGCTCCCAGCAGAAGGAATCTTAGTAAAATTCTTTAAAATATTCACACCTTGGAACATCCGGCAAGTAAAGTTTATTGACCATATATATGAGTGAACATTTATAATATTATAGAATTATTATTCAGGGTATACCAATGTTACGATGAGTCGTAAAGATTTAAAGACGGAAAACTTTTTTTTTATATGTAAATTTTTCTGAAATCAATTTGGCAGAAAATAGACAAACAAATTGCATAGTAGGTGGAATAATAAACTATATATTGTTCACTTTTGAGTTCCGTTGACAGTGAATAATAATTACAGCTGAAGTGAAATACTTATAACGCACGTTAAATTCATAACTTCCTTATGAAACTGCAAATTGCAAAAATTATACAGAAACTATATAATTTATCACTGTAGTTCACACTGGACACTGTATAACTGTATAAAATTAAATGGATTTAACAGAAGTAAAGATCAGTTAAACTTTCAAAACTTCGATCCTCATTTAAAGTTTGTCAAAAATTTTCACTGAAAAACCTTTAATTCAGAATACATATATTTTTAGAGAATGTTTAAGTTCTATAACCATGTACGAATGCCACCACAGCTGAGGTTCTAAATCATTATTCAGGCCTAACGAAATATCAGACCAAACAAAAATTGTACCTATAAAATGTTTCATTGTTCTAAAAAAATACTAACAGAACTGTACAGTTTATAAAAAAAATCAGGCCTGAATCGACCGAATCCAATTGAAATTAGGCTTAAAAAGTCTTGATTGTCCAAGCAACTAGCAAACTATAGACATGAAGTTTTTATTTAAAAACCTATTACATTAGAAGCACCGCGTGTAGAAGATCTCTGTGAGCAGAACAAGATCACTTCTGTGTGTGAGAGGATCATTTGAGAGCGCGAGCTGTGCTTGCGGTAAGAAAAGAATTGCACTGCCGCATGGACTGCACTGCCATCGGTATTACACTTATGTGGGGATTGTTTAGACACAGAGATTGCACTGCCGTAAAGATTCCAAAGCCATCGTGATGGCACAGCCATAGTGATGGCACAGCCATAGTGATGGAACAGCCATAGTGATATAACAGCCATAGTGATATAACAGCTATAGTGATTGCACAGCCATAATGCTTTCACAGCCATATAGTGATTGCGCAGCCATAGTAATAGCACAACCATATGGAATGCACAGTCATAGTGATTGCACAGCCATAGTGACTGCACAGTCATAGTGATTGCACAGCCATAGTGAAGGCAGTCATAGTTATTGCACAGCCATAGTGAAGGCACAGCCATAGGGATTGCACAGTCATAGTGACTGCACAGTCATAGTGATTGCACAGCCATAGTGAAGGCAGTCATAGTTATTGCACAGCCATAGGGATGGCACAGCCATAGTGAAGGCACAGCCATAGTGATTGCACAGCCATAGGGATTGCACAGTCATAGTGACTGCACAGTCATAGTGATTGCACAGCCATAGTGAAGGCACAGCCATAGTGATTGCCCTCCCATTGCTACAGGAGACGATGCTAATTCGGAACGTAATTGAATTTAGAGGCAATAACAAGGGACATTTGCACCCAATAAGCGGACGCTTTTACAGCCTCGACCAGGCATGCATTGCATCTAAAATCTTGTCCAAGGGTCATCCGGCCTACAGAAAACTGAAAGTAAAATTGCTGGTCAAATTATATCGTGGTTCTCACATCATTACATTTGACGATAGTCTGAATTTGAGAAGATATCATTACGAGCACTGACCGAAGGGGGGAATGTTATGGATCGGGTCAGAGTGGAATGGTTACGAAGGTTATTTCAATAAACGATTACGTCTTTTTCACGCTCGAAATATAACCTAAATTATTTCGCCCACAGTTTACCTTTAAATTACATAAAATAAAAATAAAGTTGCTTGTGAAATTTTCAAGCAACAGTTTTGGTCACATTGAACCAAATGCTTTGTGACTGTAAAGAGAGATTACATTCCTCAATGAATCGAAAAATTAACTCCTCAAGCGTGAAATTACCTTATCGAGTTTCGAATGCGAATTCATACACAAGCAAGTAGGCATAAAACCTCGCACAGTTAATTAGTCTCTAATTTCATCGACAATATACAAGCCTGGATGCGGCAGCGATAATTAATATACGGCCACATAGTCCTTCTCACAGCCAGGCAAGAAATTCTGGTAATTAAAGAAGCTCGTGCAGAGACGCTAATCTCTGGCCACCGCGGATGCTCTCTGAAGACGCGTCTGTCGGGACCACAGCTTCTGCTTACAGAGATATCGTCTTAGCATCACAGCTGCTCCAACATCACAGCTGCTCCAGCATCACAGCTGCTCCAGCATCATAGCTGCTCCAGCATCACAGCTGCTCCAGCATCGCAGCTGCTCTAGCATCGCAGCTGCTCCAGCACCACAGCTGGCCCCAGCATCATAGCTGGCCCCAGCATCACAGCTGTCTCCAGCATCACAGCTGCTCCAGCATCACAGCTGCTCCAGCATCGCAGCTGCTCTAGCATCGCAGCTGCTCCAGCACCACAGCTGGCCCCAACATCACATTTTTTTCAGCATCACGGCTGATCCAGCATCACAGAGCTCCAGCATCACAGCTGGCCCCAGCATCACAGCTGGCTCCAGCATCACAGCTGGCCCCAGCATCACAGCTGGCCCCAGCATCACAGCTGGATGCTCGAAAGCAATTATAATATCGATCATTTTTGCGTCGCAGCGCGGTTCCGAAAAGCATTCGTCTTGTAATGTCCGTATACAAACTGCGCAGGATCTAAAGACTACAGTTGCATTTAGATCGCACGCTACCACCTGTTAAACGATTAAACTCCAGGCTCCACTAAAATCAATACAAGCTCTGGTTTCTGAAGCTCTGAGAAACGACAAATTTATTCCTGGAAAACAATTCTGTATTGGAGAAACATCGAAAGAAAAATAAAGAAAAACATATTACCGCGAAAACCACAAATTTATTACAGTTTATAGAAGATTTTTCGATGTTTGCTCATAATACGCAATCCTACAGAAACGTTTGTCTCTTAAATCTTCCCTCAAATGTTTTAATTTGTAATTAAGCAATTGCTTAGAGAATCTCATGAGCAGATCATTGTGCGAGAGATTAGACAACACGTTGATTATTGGGCTTGACAATGTCAACCCATCGAGAAACTCATTATATGATTTTAATGTTAATTTAAAAGTTCTGAATGATTTGAACTTCAACATGCATAGTCGAATTATAGCATTTTATCCATGTCGTATCGATCTATTTTTTTTTTTGTAAATACCGCTTTTAAATATCCCTCATTAGTATTGTGATGAGCCGACGTAAAGCAGCTAGGAAATATCACAAAAGTTTACGCGAGTTACAAAGACTGCGGATCGAGTGCGGATGTTCAGTTGTCACGGATGTTCCGGAAACTATCAGAGGCTGCAATAAAGTTTGCTCCCTGACGCTGTTTACAGGAGTCGAGTGGTGCAATTAAGGCGTACTATTCCGTGGAGTTTTGCGCTAATTTGCGGAGCGCTATATGACACTCGGATATTGTGGTTACGTTACAATCCGAACAATGGTGATGCTACAACAGTAACAACAGTGCTGTTACAACAGCAACAACAGTGCTGTTACAACAGCAAAAACAGTGCTGTTACAACAGCAACAATAGTGTTGTTACAACAGCAACAACAGTGCTGTTACAACAGCAACAGCAGTGTTGTTACAACAGCAACAACAGTGCTGTTACAACAGCAACAGCAGTGTTGTTACAACAGTAACAACAGTGCTGTTACAACAGCAACAACAGTGCTGTTACAACAGCAACAACAGTACTGTTACAACAGCAACAGCAGTGCTGTTACAACAGCAACAACAGTGCTCTTAAAACAGCAACAATAGTGTTGTTACAACAATAATGACAGTGCGGTTACATAACTAACAGCTGTGCAATTACAACTCCTAAACATTGCAATTACAACACTAACAACAAGGCTATTATTGCACTAATAGCACTAATACTACTCACGTAATAACAAAGATTCAACATAGCCGTACCTATACCGAAACAGAATTTAAACATTAAAAAAAGCGAACAGCATAAATTTCTCGGCAGCTTATGTGGCATCAGTCCGTAAACAAAATATCAACACAAAATATATCAAGAGAACAGCAAGATGCACCAGAACATGAAGGAACCAAGCCATGTTCTCAGCCAGGCCAGCTTTGACAATTTGGCGCTCAGGTCGAGCGCCTCGCAGCGTTGGAAGATCTTTAGGCGCAGTGTTAAATGCTCCAGAATTCTGCAGGACTTGAATAAATCGCGAAAATTTGCTTGGTTTGTTATTATTGAAGGTGAGACATGAGTTATATCATTCGAGAAACGATTGCACTCCAAGTTGAGCAAAATACACGTATAATTGATAAGGAATAAATAGCTTCAATTAATAATATTTTGGTCGACATGGTTAAGCGACTTCATCTCGAGTGTAAAAATGTGAATTAAATTTTGTTAATTCAAAAAAATTAAAATTTGCAGTGAAATATATATTATAGATGCATTGGGTGATACCAACCAGTCAAAAATTCAGCGCGATGCTTCAACAACCATTTACATGATGAATGGTGTTGAAATATAATGTTGATGTATATGTTATATTTAAATAATATGAGAGAGATTTATACACGCAGGGGGGTCGATGTACCGCTGGGACACGCACACAAACTATGATAGGAAATTCATCTATCAAGTCATGAATGAAAATATACAACTCAGTACTCACTGCAGTGAGTGACAGAGAGTGCATTATGACGAGAAAAATAGCGCCGTTTTTCCATAAACGAGAAAATGCGCTAAAAATGCATATCATGAATTAAGAATTATGATATGGATGCATATTTTGTTATTTTTTGTTTTTGTTTTATCAACCGTTGAAAGCAGGAAAAACCTATAGAACACGAGTTCTACAAAATTTTAGAGTACTGAAAACAAAGAGAAACAAAAAAATGCATAAAATATTTTGCCAGCTGGTAATTCGTTTGGCATACTATTAATTGATGAATAAAAACGAGAAAAAGTTCGTCAGCAAGGTCAAAAAATTGCAGCAAGGCAGGCGAAGACTTAACGCAAAAAAGTCGCTATAGACGCGACCCGAGCGATAAAAGACTGCTAGCCTATGCATTAGGTCCGTCCGTTCACCGGCACTCGAGTTGCAGGGGTAATTCCATCAAAATCAATTGCCCAGCGCATGAATATGCATGACGAGTTAGGAAGATCATTGCCAGAAGTGATGTAATTTAGGGTCCAGTCTTAAGAAGAAACCCTTGGTTGAATCCAGATTGGGCACACACTCAAGTATACTGATGAGTCAAACTGTACAACTAGTGACACACTACTTGCACGTCGCACTCAGCCGGGGTCAAACTGGGTCAGGATGACTCACATAAAGGCAAAAAAGTGCATCGCTATCTCGAAAAAATTTAGCTCATGTTTAGCGCATTTTCTCATTTATGAAAAAATGCGCTATTGTGCTCACCATGTCCGTCTGTCTGTCCATCTGTCCGTCTGTCCGTCCGTCTGTCCGTCCGTCTGTCCGTCCGTCTGTCCGTCTGTCTGTCCGTGACTTCACGTTTTCGTCGACGAGAAAATGCGCTCTCTGTCACTCATTGCAGTGAGTACTGAGTTATTTTTTTAATGCACTGTCATTGCTCAAACTGCAATGAGATTCTTTCGACACTTCATTGCATGTTAATTTTGACCAGGAAAACAGATATTATCAGGACGCGAGATAAAGAAGCTAATTTAACAAAATTTCAACTCAATTCCGATAACTAAAATAAAACAAAACCATATCACGGGCTTTTTTCATTCAATGAATAAATTAATAAGAACAGAGCTACAGACAAGGCCACAGGTTGTCAGGGCAATCACGGCGACTACTTGTACGTATTGAAGACTTGAACTGAAATAATTCGCTCCGGTGACATAATTGCGCCCACGCAAATTATAAGGGTAAAATTTTGGTAATCATCTTATCCAATAATTGATAGAGTAAAAATTATTTTTTTTATCATTTTTTAATGTTCACGCATTATTATTAATCCATATTATTCAGCCTAACTGCCTTGCTGTTTGAAACGTTAATAATTGCGTCACTATAAAACGAAATAGCGTTAAAACGATAACGGTTTAGAGGCGTAGGTGCAAATGTTGATTCGCAGCTCAGTCAGGGCGCGGATCTTTTCCGTAAGCCGCCGCTTCGTTAAATGGAGTTAAATGAAGCAAGATTTAAGAGATCCTGAGAAATGCGTACAGAGAGCACAAACGAAAAGAGATCCAGACAAGCTGGAATGGCAGGTTGTTAATTCTAGTTTGGATTGTAGGGAACAATGTGTTTGGGGTCTTAACATTTTCATCTATTTTTTATTATCCACTGCACGCTGGATATTTAGAGCACCGAGTGATGGTTCTCATAGACGGCTCATGGACGCAGGTCTCTGGAATATGTTTGATTTTAGTCACAATACACATGTAGTAATCAATTACTTGAAATTATTGTGTGGAACAATTATTCACAGAGGATAATTAGTTAAAAGGGATATGATAGTTAAAAAGTTGATACTTGGTGGGAGTAAAAATTGGATGATTGAGAAGTCAAGCCATCCGAAATAGTTCCGAAATAAATTCAACAAAGTAACCCAACGTCTAGACAGCCTCCATACATGAACGAGGTGAGTACTATAGTGAACAGAGTATCGCATTTACTAAGGGTGTCCCAATACAAAAGCATCGGCTAGCCCAGGCCAAATGATATTAATTTGTTGTATGCGCTGAATGAGATCATGTAATATTTATATATTTTGATGAATGAGGAAATGGTGGTTTGAAGGAATAGAATTTTCCGTACATGAGTTATCAACATCGGCTTTACATTTACAATTATATCATCGATTATGTTCAATTTTTTTGAAATTTCTTCGCATGAACTTGTACGTAATCAAAGGCAGGGAGGACAGAGGCATGGAGGACAGAGGCATGGAGGACAGAGGCAGGGAGGACAGAGGCAGGGAGGACAGAGGCAGGGAGGACAGAGGCAGGGAGGACAGAAGCAGGGAGGACAGAGACAGGGAGGACAGAGGCATGGAGGACAGAGGCAGGGAGGACAGAGGCAGGGAGGACAGAGGCAGGGAGGACAGAGGCGGGGAGGACAGAGGCAGGGAGGACAGAGGCAGGGAGGACAGAGGCAGGGAGGACAGAGGCAGGGAGGACAGAGGCAGGGAGCGGTTGTCATGGTGACAACCTAGCAACGAGCGCCTGAGATCAGATGGCATGGGAGGGGAGAAGAAGAGTGGGAGAGGGAGAGGGATGGGAGAAGGAGGGATGTGAGAATAAGGGAGGGGATGAGGAGTGAGGGAGGGATGTGAGAGTGACAGAGGCAGGGGAGAATGGGAGTGTGATGTGATAAAGGGAAAGGAATAAGGTGTTTGAAAAGGGAGTAAGAGTCGGAAAAATATGGGAAGGGGATAGGAGAGGGACGAGGGAATGAGAAAGGGATGCAACACGCATGCGACAACACGCATTTAGACTTTCTTAAGCTATGCCCAAATACCTGCTGCCAAAACGTTATTAACATTTGTAGCACGAAATGAAGTCAAGATTTATCAGCAAATTAATCTTCGTTTGCCAGTAACTAGACATTAGGAAGCATAGATAATAATCACGCACTCATTTCAGGAGGTGATTAAATAGGATGCAGATCTAGAAGTCATTCAGGATTGAAGTTGCTTAGTTACAAAAAATTCTTATTGAATATTGTCGTCTTAATACAAGCTTGCGCAAAGCCGTCGTGTATAAAATCCGTCAGAATGTGCAGTGATTTAATACAATATGCATTATATAGTATATCTATATTTATCTTATCGAGGCTACGACCATACGTGTTGTAATATTTATGTATCGCTAGGATACTCGTCTGATCAAGAAAATGACATTACGTAGCGAAATATTTATTGTATTTATTGTATAACAGTTAATTAATGATACTCGCATCATGGAGAGAAGAGTATTCTGGTGACATTGACAATAACGGCGATGCCGTAGCAATATTTTTTATATCACAAGGACAAGTGAATTACATTACTGTGCGCAATATTTGATGAAGCAACAGGCAAATCGTCTTATCTTATGCGTGCCTACACACTATGCAGTATTTGTTGCTTCTGCACTCAATCAACAAGACAAGTTTGGACCTCAATAGTGACACAAAAGCATGACTACATAATTGTGTTGCAGATGTCAATAGTGACACAAAAGGATGACTAAATAATTGTGTTGCAGATGTCAATAGAGCAGCTCTGACCCTGTATATGTAGCTGCACATCTTGCAGGGACACAAAGGCCCCCTTCTAGAATATTGTCAGCTATTGTTATAACTATTGTTATAACTATTGTTATAACTATTGTGCGGTCTCTGCTGACTTAAGAATACTGTAACATAAAATTACTGCAGTATACCTGGATTACAGTTGCTCTCATCACACGTGAAAATTCTGTAATTAATCTGTATTAAAAGTGCTGTCACAACACGTGGAAATAATGTAATATAAATTATTTAAATTATTGTCATCACACATGAAGTTTCTGTAATTAATCTGTATTAATAGAGCTGTCACAACACGTGAAAGTAATGTAATATAACTTAATAAAATTATTGTCATCCCATATGAAAATATTTCGCACATAAATAAATTCTCCTTTGATATGGTTCATGATGATTCCAATCCCCCATCAAATAATTATTAAATATTATTCACGTGCTTGGGATGATATTGTTATTGGAGAGACAACAGGGCGAGGATAATAAAAGCTAATTAAACTGTCAAAACATATTTACGATCCTATCAACGATCTGGAAATCGGAAAAGATAATAGAAGTTCAGTCAAAATCACTTAATGATTCATTCTAAAATATTGGTGGATAATTAAATCTTCAAATATCAAACTGATAATTTCTTGTTTTAATTTCAACAGCTTTTATGCTGATTTTAATTGCCCTTATGAAGAAACATATGAAACTATTGATATCTATGCAGTTCAATAGAGCTTGATAATACTGTGGACGTAATCATTCATACTATATTCTGATATAGCATGAATATAGTATCATGTGAATGTGATTATTAAGAAAATAAACTAATTTTAATATGAACTGATCACTAATTTAACTATGTCTCAGAGAATAAACTAATTTAAATAATAATTAATCAATAATGAAACTAGGTTTCAGAGGATAAACTAATTTAAATAATAATTAATCATTAATATAACTAGGTTTAGAAGAATAAACCAATTTTAACAATGATTAATAACTAATTTGTCTAACTAACTTAATTCTGCCTCCATGCAGCCGAGATTTCATTTCATTGTTCAAGGAGTTCACGCATGAGTTCCATTTTTAGAGCCCGAGATTTTGAAGCTACGCAAAAATGCAAAAAATAAATAATAAAAATAAAGCTAGGCAATTAACCCATAAGTTTAAAAAATATTAAAGGAACGAATATATAATCACAATAATAACGTTACAATAGGTAGCGAGTCTACAACTATTAGGAGGGCATTCGAGAATTTAAATTTCAACATACTACAGTGTTTATACCATACGCTTTCTTCACAGCTACGCGCAAGACACAATAACTTCTCTGGTGCACCTTTTCAATTGAAATAAAAATAAAAAAGTTCTCTGTAAACCTATTAAACAAATAAACTTCTGCATATGTTGCTCTATCCTCTACAGTAAGCCGTGAATTTTTGACAGAATTTCAATAGTTTTGAGAAGCTTCCAGCTTGTCAGAGATGAAAGCAACTTAGTTATTATGGACCGACGTCCATGCATTGCTTACAAGCTGGAGAATTCGCGCTGAGTTCTACACTTTGTTCGAACACAAACATTATACTAGCGTCAATGAATTGGATTTCATCGAGCTGGATTTCAAATCTTGAAACATACGTCATATTTTTCTGTGTATTCTATGCAGGTATTAAGAATACTTACGCAAGAAATTTTTTGTTTGGCCGAGGATAAACTGACTCGTATGGATACTCCACACAACACTTGTGTGTCAAGGGCTGCATGGGCAAAATAATTTGCACTTTCCAGAGAATAAAACAATTGCATGACCGCGAAGAAAAATTCCTTAAATCCCTAATGCATAACAAATTTTGAGAGACAAAAGAATATTTAATTGCGCTCAACAGGCTGCGGTGAACGTAGTCATTTGATGATTTGCAAGACAAGAAAAAATATAACAAAGTACTCACTGCAGTGAGTGACAGGGAGGGCATTTTCTCGTCGACGAAAATTTGAGGTCACGGACGGACGGACAGAGGGACGGACGGACAGATGGACAGACAGAATGAGAAAATGCGCTAAAAAGATCAGATGCAGCACACGGGCGTCAGTAATGAGAGCGGCGACACGCTTGGGACAGGCTAGCGCCCACTACACGACACGGCCGAGCTCTAAGCAAATGAAATAGCAACAACTTGCTCTTGTATATTAACTTATTGCTCTTGTTTATTACGACCAACAACGACGCACAGGCGGCTTAGGGACAATGGGTGATGGACTGACTGATGGACAGAGCATCTCTCTCGCTGCCACTGGCGCCTGGAGCGGTCACTGGGCAAGTCTGGTGCAAGTCTAGTGGTCGTGGTCGAAACAATTCACAAGTCAGAAAGTTATTGCCATGATACAAATTTTTTTCGTGAATAGTGTTCTCATTTCAATTAACTATCATCTGATGGCAGTCACTCTAGGCCTTTGTCTACATCCTAGGCTTATGCTTATTGGATGTAGACACGGATGTAGGCCTACATCCGCGTTGTCTACGAATAGCATTGACAGCGGTTAGTGAATTTCTACACTTAAGAGTTTGTTCAAATAATGATGTACATTTTGCTAATGAAAAGTCCTCCTGACCCATTTTGTAACGGAAATAGGGCTTATCAGTGCTACTGCATCTCTCTGCTCGTACTGTGGTTAAAAACATGTGTCACAATTGGGACCGACATATACATTGAACTGAGTGAGAAGTTGATAAATTTTCACAGGTTGACAGGAATGAGATAAGCCGCGATTATAATATTCCTGCCAACTCTAGCAGTGCCATACCTGACAACTGCATTTGAAATCATATTCTGATGTGATGTTACAATCACGATTCCTATCATGCAGGTGTTATTTTTATTTTTTATAAGCTGAGCGCCAGCAAATAACAAAATTTAAAAAATTATTATCGTAAAAAACTAAAAATTTCATACAATTTATTCAAATTCTCACTTCCCCATTACAGTATATAATTATCTTTATTTTGTAGCGGCAGCTATTAGAAAGGATGTCAGCTATTAATTAATCAAATCTGGCTGGGACAGTAAAAGGATTTACAGTGCAGAGACATCAGTTCAAACTCTCTACTGCTTCGCTGAAACTGCTCGGCCAGACATTAACTCGGATTAGAAGATGAATCTTTAAACAAGTTGAGTTAAATATAAGCTATCCATCATACCGGAAATTAACTCCGTTTATATAACGATCTAAGAACGAACGCAAAATGCATTGGTTCATTTCTTTTGAATGACGCTGCAGTCGCAAAGCAAAAGTCTCGCGCGTACTTTTTGACATCGGATAGGAAGCCTCGCAAATATCCTCGCGATCATAACATCGAGAGCTCCCTGAGGAAGTCACGGCATTGAGTTTTGATCAAAACAGAAACTGATTTCATAGAATCGGTTGCCAAGGCCATGTTTACGTCAGGTTCTATGACGCAGGTTTAGCACAACACGTCGAGCGTTAACTGCAATTTTGAGTCTAACTTACGGTCTCTGTGGATTTTTCCAAGGCTATGGTGCAAAAGGATGCCTTTCCAGTGTTGAAACTTATTTGTGGAATCAAGTTTAATTGAAATTTCGAGGGAACTTACGTGATAAAATGTTGGAAAAGGATTATTAATTTTAATGATAAACCACGAGCCCGACTAATTTGTATTCAAGACTTATTGTATTTTGGACTACAAACCATGATAAGAAAAATATGATTGTTTTTGCATCATGCAAGATGCTCAAGGTATAATCGAAATGCGTTAACAGCGTTAATTGTGGAGCAATCTTCCGATTAGAAAATTTTCGCGAGGCAAGATTGATATCATGAAGAAGTTTACAAAATCCGCGCCGAACAAGCAGGATTTCCTAACGAGATTTTGATGCTCACACGCGTCCAGCTTGACAAGATCACCAGATTTCCGAGGCTGTGGGAAAATATCGGGAATTTCAACGCTCAAGAGGAAGTGAGTATCGGATAAAAAGGAAAGTAATTACGTTAATGCGGTGCCGAGGATCGACGGCGCTGGAAAGAAATCGTCCGCCTCTGACAACTTGATGGATGAAGACGTTGTCCAAGTGACCAGAAATAGAACAATATAACACAGAGAGCTCAACGACCGTTCGCGCGCAGCCTACCGCTCCCAGTCTCCATTGACGTGAAAAATCAGACACTATATCCGGAGCCTAAAATGCTGTATAGCAA